ACAGGGCAATGTTTTTCTATTAAATTGAAGGACACATGCAAAAATTCAGGCACCTTTGAGAAAAGAAAAATTATTTGACCCAAAACCACTAGCCTCTTCGATTCATTTACACTTACTAATGTATTTCTCTAATATTACTTCTTGGCCTCAGAAATTCAACCACTCTTGTTAATGGAAGGATTATTTTAAATGAAAACTCAAGAGAAGGTGTCATGGCTTTAGAAAAAATATGCTTTTTCCAATGCCCTGGCTTTATCTGGTAAGGACAAATCATTTTCGTTGCTTTTAACTCTTACCTAAGCAAAAAAATGTAAAAATGTTCTTTGGTTAAAACATTTAAAAACACTTAAGCTTTTGAATGCCTGCCTGCAAATAACTTCGAAGGGTAAAAATGAATGAAAAAAAGAAAATAATTCATTTTTACCCTTCAAAGAATGCAGTCAGGCAATTGCAAGCTCAATGTTTTTTTTAAATGTCAGATAACTTTTTTTACATTTTAAGAGTAGTCTCAGTACCTTGTTTTCCTCCAAAAGGCATATTAACAAGTCAGAGAATAGCCTCTAATATCCCCTAATGTTTGGAGTTTTTTATATTTGCACTTATTTCAGTGTCACAGTCGTTAAATAAACATTACCATCCAACCCCAAACAGTTATTTTATTTTGTGAAAATTGGGCAAAAACTCATGGGAAGCCATTTTGTTTTTACTTGGAGGTGAATAGCAAAGGATATCTGGAGTTTGAGTACAGTAAAAACCCGCAAGTAAGAACCTAGTTTTTAAGAACCTGTTAGGCTAAAATTTGCCAGTTAGACCCCCTCTATACAAGAACCTGTTTAGCCTAAAATTTGAAACAGGTTCTTATTTTCTAAAATCTATATTAAAAAAATGTGTACACTTGGGCAAATAAGATAGGTCAACATTTTTACATAAATACTTACTTGGTATGCAGATTTTATATAAGGAATAGGCTGAATACCACTAAATTCTATTAGCTGCAATGTAATTTTTTTCTTCAGAAAATAAGAACCTATTTAAGAACCTAAATAGCCTAAATTTGTGCTAATTACCATTTATGTAAGAACCTGTTTAGGCTAACTTAGGAAAATGCAGGTTCTTGCTTGTGGGTTTTACTGTAGCTAATCAGAGCACGCGAAAAGCACTACCAACTTGTGTGTGGTATATTATCATCTAGCAACGTAGGCATGTAATATGTGCAAAGAATAGCTATAACATAGCTGATGCACGAGGACTGACTGTAACTGTAGTTCATCTTTTTCTGTAATCATTCCTGATTAAATATTTCATTTTGGTTTCTACACTCATCTGTAGTCAAACTTGCCATCTGGGAATACGCCTTAGATCAGTATGTGCAATCCATAAGATGGGTCCCAGAGGTAAGTGATGGTAGGTTAATAACAGTCATAATTTGCTTATAATGCATTCACGTGTTGAAGCAGTTGTTTACAGGAGCCATGATGATAATCATGGCTGAATTGCAACAATTATTTTTGATCTCCTCTCCTCTAACAGTGTAACATACAGTTAGCTAAGCTACAGACAAAATGTTTGTTGTAGGTTAAAAAGCACGCAACCCCCTCCACCCCTCTCTGATCCCCGTCTCTGTTATATAGTACTCCCTTCTGTAGAAAGTAATTCAATACAAGATTGATGACTTTAGAATAAATACAGTGTGCTAGCTGATTTATGATTTTGAAAATACTGTATAAGCTCCCACTTCCCTCTCTGAGAATAGCCAGCTGGCCACGCCCATTTTATAAAAGAAATACCATAAAATGGGGGCTTATTTAATTTCAGGCCTCGAGAAGGGGGGGGGGGGGGGGATGTGTGTGTGTGTGTGTGTGTGTGGGGGGGGGGGGCTTAATAGAGAGGGGGCTTATTTCAAATCATAAATTTGCGAGAAAATTCACATTAATTTTTATATATTCATTTATATACCCTAACTCAAAGTAAACGTTTCAATACAAAGTGACTGAAATGTCAGAAAATATTGCTGAAAAGTCATGTACATCAAAGGGGGGGGGGGGGGGGGGGGCTGATTACAAAATCTGACTTCCAAAGAAGGGCTTAATAGAGAGGGGGGGCTTAGTAGAGAGGGGGGCTAAATAGAGATTTTACATACAGTATGTCACATTTAACTGTGGTCTACCTGATTCCCCTTCTGTCTCTGCATATTGTGCTTTCCACTAGGTTAATCTTATTTCATCTGCACCAAATGCTACACTACAGGAGTTTGTTTACTAATCATAATATTGTTTACTAATTAAAGGATTTGAGAAAAGGAATAAAAGTAAGGATGTCAAGAAAAGAGGTGCTAGAGAAAACAGGAGAACTTATTTCTCTTAGGTATGTACAAAGTAAATAGCTTTTGAAAAATATAAAACATTTTCATCTATTTAAAAGAGTTTAGTAAATATATACTAGTATATATATGGCTCTAGTATATTAATGCAAATGTGGCAATCTAATATTGGCTGAGCTACTCATATACTATCATTCATTTAGTATACGAGTGGCTGGAGGTCGTCTATAACATGGCGGTTTCTTCTCATTTCTCCGAAGCTTTTGTATTTTTCTGACATGCGAGTCACGTTTTATTATGATTTTTACTAAAAACAATTAGATTATTTGTTCTCAATTTCTGAGTGATAGTTGATTTGGCATGCGGCCTCATCAACTATCACATCATAGAAATCTCAAGCTCATAATCTAAATTGCAGTGTGCTTCAATAATTATGTTACATGATTGTGTTGTACACTTCCCTTTCTCTTGTTTTAGGTACAAGATCAATTTGTCCTCTGACCTTCTGATGACCCCAGATTTTTATTGGGATCGGGAAACCTGGAAAACTTGTATGATAAAACATGTTTGTACCTGGACATTCAAAAAAGAACAAGGGTAAAAAATACTTAATATAAACAGTGTTGATATATTAAAAATATATTAATTTTGATAACATTTTACTGAGGGATGGTAGTACATCTGACGAGTTACCTTCCCAGCATTTTGTCAGGTTGCCCTAAGCTAAACATTTGTTGGTATACTCTTTTATACTTGTGGTTGGAGAGATGCACTGCGAGTCAAGTAAATTATCTTGCTCAAGAACACAGCACAATAACACAATTCACTGTTACTATATTTCAAGTGACTAGGAGTATCGCTACTCCCCTGGTGATACTCCCGGGGGGGGGGGGGGGAGTACTCCGGATTCAAAATGACGGGGAGGTGGGAAGGTTTTTTTTGGGTTTGAAACTCACGATTTCGGATTTTTTGGGGTAAGAAAATTTTGGCAAGTATTTTTGGGTAGTTTGATTTTAGTAGGGATTTTTTTGGGTATTCAAAAACAATATTGGTTCTACGGATATGTAATACACGCACACTTGTTGTTTATTTATGGCTCGCATTACATTGCATCCGTTTTAGGTTCGAAAATTCAGCATGGGATTTTTGGGTTTAATTTTGGTTCAGGGGATTTTTTTTGGTTCTGCTTTGAGCCCTAGGGATTTTTTCGGTTTTAATTTATGCCCCCATTCGCACCTCCCCGTCACTATAAATCCGGAGTACCTCCCCTAGGGTGATACTCCTATAGTCACTTCATGCTATGGAGACCGGAGTTACAGTTGTAAGCGCCAGCCTGATAAGGCTTGTAGTCCATTGCAGGTAACCTGGCCCCAGTATTTTTGTTAGGTTGCCCTGACAATTCACTGGTGCCCATTTATTCCTGGGTGGAGAGAGGTAATGTGAGACCAAAGAACACAACACAATGACCCCAGCCAGGGCTGGAACCCGGACTGCTCGATTTGTAACACTAACCATTAGTCCGCCGCTCCTCCCATATTTCACTGTGTTTGGCATTAATTCAATCTTTATTTCTTTACAAGGTGATGAATGAGAAATTAAACCACTGTTCTGAGATGGTGGAGTTATTAAGGACACACCTCAGTGAAAAACATTCCTTCAGATTGGAATGGGGAATTATTGCACTTATAGCAGTTGAGGTATAAAGTTTCAATAATGTTGTTTATTTTTGATAGTAGCCCGATTACTCTTTTAAAAGTCTTGATCTTCAAAACTACACTGTCTATTAATTGGTTAGGCTAGTTTGATCTTTTACTCATGTGCTGCACTGCCAAACCCGGACAGAACACTAAAGCTAACCCAAATAGCAGTTATTACAGATGTGAGCGGTTTGACATGCAAACGAGGCGAAAGGGTCAATCTGGTATTGTTAGCTGTTTGGCATGCAAACGAGGCGAAAGGGTCAATCTGGCATTGTATTGGCCCATTAGCCTCATTTGTAGGCTTGATTACGACTGTTTGGGAAAATGAGCCAGAACGAAGACCTGACTCAAGAGAGCGGCGGAAATCGAGCCTAACTCGTTTGCATACTTTTTAAAAACAAAAGAATATTTGACTGCGGGCTCAACTGTATTTAAACCACTAACTGTTAGTGCTAGCTTGAGAACCCAGATGAAGTTTTGCCTGTTGTTCTCAAACTCATTAATAATTCATAAGGTTACAACAAAGGAAATTAGAAGCTTAATTTATAGCATAGATGTTTACAACTTTATTTCTCCGTTTATTCCTTAGTTTTCGTTTCAATTGAGAAGATATATCAAATGCTCAAGATAGTGCTTCATCTGATTTCTAAACACCTCAAATTTTGTCAAAAATACTTTGCTTGTTGTAATTTCAACTCTCTTCTCTGTGTTTGGAAATCTGATGAAACACTGTCTTGAGTGGAAAGAGATGATGGTATATATTTTAAGCTTGGCAGAAATACCTACGAGAAAGATATTATTCTGTCAGTGACACGAGTAGCTTGTGTCACTGACAGAATAATATCTTTCTCATATTTCTGCCAAGCTTGAAATATACCATCATTTCTTTCCACAAATTCTCATTCATCGACAAATCTAATCCTAGCAGTATGCGGGATGTTTGTCACACTTGAACCTAGTTATATGGCCTTAGCTCCCACAAGTCTCCTGTAGCTCAGTGGTAGAGCATCCGACCGGTGTGCGGAATGTCATTGGTTCGACTCCTTTCAGTCTTTCAGTCTTTCAGTTTATTATCTCGGTAATGCTGTGTTGCTTTACACCAAGGTTAACATAGATGAAAAAAAAAAAATAAATAAATAAAGAATGAATGATAGACTGATTCCATAAGTAGCTATTTCCACTCGCTTGCTACTCATGGGTAACCCAAGGAGCGTGCGGACACACCGACTTATGGAATCAGTCTAGGTAAAAATATAAACAATACTAAATGATGAACTATCTGAAGTCTACTTCCAAGATACGGGGGAACTCAGAATTTTTTTCCGAGTAGCTTGTGTCACTGACAGAATAATATCTTTCTCACTGTTGAGTGTTTGATATATTACTTAACTGACAAAAATATATCTGAGTGTGCAGGTTATGCTAACTAGGTTTGTTGTTTGGTGTTGTGGCATGGGGAGTTGGCATTTCCCATGTTTGAATTTTTTTTTAATTTTTAGTAAAAAATGTGGCATCAACTTGCATAGTGTAACACCTGGCAAAATAAAATTATTAAAACTCTGTACTTTATCTTGTTCCTATTGCAGGTTGTGTTTGAGACATTGTACTTAATAGAGAGATACTTCCCCTTCAGATGACCCAGGCCTGATGTACGAAAGAAAAAAAAGAATCATTTATTAATCGAGAATTTGCCTTCAGGTGTAATGAAATGGCAAATAAAATGAGTCATTTCTCACACTATCTCGTGTCTTCGTATGCATTATTTGCCTACTGACACTATTTTAGTACGCACAGAACAATGTTCACTTATGATATAATAGGATGTGGAAGCCTGAAGGATTGGTTTATATTTATGTGGAAGTCTGAAATGCTTTAATAGTACCATATAGATTATTATAATATACTAACCATGGGATAATGCATTTTCAAGCAATTTGATTGGTTCCCTGCTCATGGTCTCAGAGACAATATACCCTCTCTACCTTATTTGGAAATGCCGCGAAGTTCAAATTTTTTTGTCTCTGGGAAAATCGAGGAACATTTTCGTATTTTTCCAGTTTCCTCGGAGAAATTCAACATTTTCCCTGTAATTTGTATATTATAAAACAATTATTCGCCTCAGGCTCGTGAATATTGGTGAATATTCCCCTCGACTTCGTCTCGGGGAATATTCACCAATATTCACTTCGCCTTCGGCGAATAATTGTTAATTATACAATGTATGTTAAGAACTTGATATAATTGTTTTCATTCATACGTTTTTGATACTGTGCTCACTAGCTCGAAAACACACTCACTCACAATGTGGTACTATACTCTTCCCAGTAGACTGCAAATGTCAAAAAGTTGATGTTATAGGGAGATGAGTTTTCCTCCCAATAACGAAGTTTAAATTAATTCAAATGTCATTTCAATCTTTATTTCAATATTCCATTCTTGAAATTCATGACACACCAAAAGCTCTATTAAGCCCCCCCCCCCCCCCCTACTTAATTTCAGGCCCCAAGAAGGGGGGCTTATTAGAGTTGAGGGCTTATTTCAAATCATAAATTTTCGAGAAAGTTCACATTTTTCAAACTTTACTATTACACCACTAAATAAAACAGAACAAGAAATGGGTCATGCATGACCCACCATCTTACAAATGCAATGTCATTTATTATACCCTAGTTGAATGATACTTCTGGAAGGGGGGGCTTAATTAATAGAGAGGGGGGCTTATTACAAAATCTGATTTCCAAAGGGGCTTATTAGAGAGGGGGGAGGGGCTAAATAGAGCTTATGTCTGTCAAATGAAGCCATACATACATACATACATACATACATACATACATACATACATACATACATACATACATACATACATACATACATACATACATACATACATACATACATACATACATACATACATACATACATACATACATACATACATACATACATACTTTATTGAAGCTCCCTAAGTGGGTTTTTCAGCATCAAATACAAATTTAAATTAATTAAGAATATAAATACAATAATATAGTAATTACAATAAATATATTAAAAATATTACAAATGTAGGAAATTAATCTAATAACAAATTAGCAAGATGCCGCTTAAAATTCTTAGGACATTTTAAAGACTTAATATTACTGTTTAAGGAATTCCAGAGTTTTGCCCCTCTGTAAGCAAAAGAGCGCTGACCAGTTGATAGGCGGCAAAAGGGTATGTCCAGGGTACTAGACGATCGAGTTTGTCTGTCATGGACGTGGGAACGTAATTTGAACTTATTTGCAAGGTAGTCTGGGACAAAGTTGTTGATGCACTTGTGCATCATAGTTGCATCATTCAATATGAGTCTCTCTTTAATAGGAAGCCAGTTCAATGATCGCAGTCCTTCAGAAATATGATCATACTTTCTAAGGCCTAGAATAATTCGTCCAGCGAAGTTTTGGACTTTTTGTAACTTATCAATATTGCTGTTACTGGTATTACTCCAAACAGTTGAACAGTACAGTAGTTTACTAAAAACAAAGGAATTCATTACTAACAAAAGCGTTTTTCTATCCAGCAGATGCTTAATTCTGTTAATTTGTTTCAGTTTAAATAGACAATTTGAAACAGTTTTAGTGATATGTTCGTTGTAATTGAGGCTTGCGTCGAGGTGAATACCTAAGTCTTTAACAACTGGCACAGGTGTTATTTCTATCTATTTGTACATTGATTAATCCAATTAACATTTCAGTTTTGAATCAACTTGCAGTTTGAATATTGAACTATTCAATTCAAGAATGGAATTATGAAAACAAAGAATTAAATCAAATTTTCATATAAAATGATTCATTAGTCCTTTACCAGTTTTTACTGGAAAGTGCCAGCAACGCTGACGTTACATGTACTGACAGTTCATTAGCAGACAACGGCTTTTTACCGTGTAGAGTGAGTACAAGATATTCGCAGTTATAAATCAAATTAAAAATTCAGGCTCCAATGGGATTCGAGCCGATGACTTTGCTATTCTGGTGCAAACGCTCTACCACTGAGCAATGAAGCTACTGGGAACTACTAGTCATTATTGTGAGTTATATTGTGCAGCTTTTTCACACTGATCATACCCACCCTTACTTTGTAATAAACATTGTTATTACATTTATCATGTTATTTATTATTTATCATTTTTTTTATTGTTGATCATTTATTAAGGACGTTCGCGCTAAAAATTTGTACGCATCACTTCTGCGCACGTTATTCATGTTGCACGCACACGCCACACCATGCATCGAGCACGCACGCTGAGGAAGAAACTGGACAAATATAGTGCTTGGTGGCTGCTGCGGTAACTTTGCATGGATTTAACTCTCTTAAATGGTCGGTGACCCATACATTTTTTCAGTAGATCACTTTCTTTGCCAATCTTCTGCAGATTTTGAAAAAACCCAGAACAAAATCAGTGTTGGAAGTTTAAATTTTTTCTACCCTTGCGCCACCGAATCCTGCCAAAATTGTGGGTGTCAGACTTCGCAAATGCCGTCCTTAAAGATTAGGTTTACTTAAGGGATGTCACCAACTGAATATATCTGTTCAATAGACACAGTTCTGTAAAATTTGGCAAAGAAAGTTTGTCTCCAGCGGTTCATTTGCAATATTTTCAGACTAACAGTCACCAAGGCCATATCGAGTTACGAGGATCAAAACAAGGATCAAAATTACAGTGTTCACTTATCATATCTCCGAAATTAAGTCGGTGTCCCCCAATTGTTTTGCATTTCTGACATAAGTAATTCATTATCTAACTGTGGTAAAAGTTTAAAAAAAATCCGAGCAGTGTTAGAAGATTTTCGCGCAAACATCCTTAAGTGAAACATTAGTTTTTTTTGCATAATTTTGTAAGCAATAAGCTAGATAATTTAAAATTAATTTAGTTAAATACACGCCTCGATGGAAGAGCATGTAAATGAATTGATACTGTGTTAAAAATAAAATAATATATATATATATAATAATAACAAACACCTGTCCACTGTTTTTTTATTAGTTTATTAACAAAAGAGCTAACTAACCAACTATGAATCTGTAACATATTTTCAAGAAAAAATATCAAGATTTTAAAAATGACTGTCTACACATAGAAGGACAGTATCTTTTTATCATTCAATGGTTCAGTTGAGGGAACAAGTGCCATTACTGGCAAATCTCTGTTGAAGCACTCAAAGAGTATTCCATTTCTTATCATCCAATCAGAAAATAGTGCGAGCGCTCAGACAAGAGTACTTGGAAAGTTGTCTTGGCAGCATGGTGCAATAAGGATACACATGCCATGTTGCTTAGCAACTTCTTTGATGAAAACTGAGGCCTCAGTCAATTCTTGGCAACAGGATTTCATCCTCAACTGGTACTTGTTCCTCCAACTTGTCCCCAATCTCGTACCCAGAGTCAACGGTCTCCTCGGTCAACGGTCTCCTTGGTCAGCGGGTCGTCGCCAGGTTAGACTCTGGGGGAATGGAATTTTGAATACCAGCCATTCCCCCAGAGTCTAACCTGGCGACGACCCGCTGACCGAGGAGACCGTTGACTCTGGGTACGAGATTGACTTGTCCCATAATAGCAGTTATTACAGACGGTCAGCGGTTTGACATGCAAATGAGGCGAAAGAGTCAATCTGGTATTGTTAGCCTTTTGACATGCAAACGAGGTGAAAGGGTCAATTTGGCATTGTATTGGCCCATTAGCCTCATTTGTAGGCTCGATTACCAGCCGCTGTTCGGGAAAATGAAACAGAACGAAGACCAGACTCGAGAGAGCAGCGGAAATCGAGCCTAACTCGTTTGCATACTTTTTAAAAACAAAATAATATTTGACTGCGGGCTCAACTGTAATAACAGCTATTTGTTCTTATTTTATTTTTCATGTTTAAGTTGTTTTCCTCTTTCTCTTCTTATTACATTTTCCCCCCATAATATTATATAGACTAGTTTGCAGTCTAATCTAAAAAGTGAGCACTATTCCTCATAACAACAAGAGTGCCTGCCTCCTCATAAGAGGTTGGACTGCACAGCATGTCTCAATACATCTCAAAAATTTAAGATACATGTAGTCTCACAAATAATGTAATAAATTATATAGAAGCAATAAATATTATTGACTGATATTGCTCAAGGTGCAAAAGCCTTCATGGTAGAGGCAATCCAGCTTGGGAAAGGGAAAGAAACATGAGAAAATGCTGTCTAAAGATGTGATCAGTTCACCAGGCTATGAAAGCAGTTGGTTTCTTTTCCTGTTATTGCAAGCGATCACTTCATATTTCAAACAGTCAAACTTATGAAATACGTAGCACACATCAAATATTTTTTTCTCACGTGCGATTGGTCTAAGTACATCACACGATGCAGCCAAAACTGGGGAATATCCAATAATAATATTTTTATTGATATCCCCCAAGTGTTCATAATTTGCATTTTATGTTTGTCCATCAGTTTTCATCCCAAACAAATTGTTATTAAAATTTAATAGAAATGAATTTTTGAACAGAAGGGCAAGACTTTTGGACACAAACAGAGTTATTTTGACATTGGACAGCTTGGCCGAGATATGTACACAGAGAGGCCTATAGTGTGAAAATATTTGAAGGATAATAAACACAATATATAGCCTCCACTTGACTTAAAAAATGTGCATGGATTTTGTCCTTGGACATTTTCTGTTCCTCAAAGCTCACAGTTTTCCTCAAGCTTCGCTCTTAGAAAACTGTTCTCTTCTCAGAACAGATAATTTCAGCAGACAAAATGTGCATATTTTCATGCCAAATGGAGGTTATTACAATATTCATCTATGATACAAGCACTGTAGACTTACAGGCTTGGTTACAACTTGACGACACTTTTTCTTTTTAGACTTATCCACACAGTTCAACTTATTCAGTTTTTTAATAAATCTTCTTCTGATCAATATTTATTACCCCCTCTGAGGGGGGACCTTTTTAATTGTTCCAATGTTCATGAGGATTCTCTCTCCTTTCCCACACGGAATATGAAGTAAATTTCACTTTATCCATTTCCATTACTTCTAGCATCAACTCCTGTGAAAAAATATAAAAAAGATACAGCTTAACCAATAATTTGATTCCTGTTTTTTTTCTTCTTCCAAAAAACAGCAATCTAACACCCCAGGGCCCGGTTGTTCGAAGGGTGGATAACGCTATCCACCGGATAAATCACTATCCGCTGGATAGCGTAGTTTGTTTTGTTAACACTTATCCACTGGTTAGTGATTTATCCGGTGGATAGCGTTATCCACCCTTTGAACAACCGGGCCCTGATGGCTATTTCTGGCCGTTATCTCAACAGTTTACAGCCCAAGTGTCTAAAACTTAGTTTGCAACATGGAAACTATCATCCCCTTCTACTTTGAGGCCAGTAATTCAATATATTCTTTGGGCATGTGCATAAATCAAAAAGTTGACATTGAGAAAAACACACCACACTTCAAGCTTTCCTTTTTTGGCCAATTTTTTCTGTGGGAGGCCCCCAAACACCCCCTTCACACTGCCGTCTACTTCCAAAAATGTTTCTTCAATCTACTTCACATTTTTGGGAAAACCCTGGGACCCCCCCTATCAACAAATCCTGGATCAAATACATCTTCTGACATGAAAAGTGATGATGTCACATGTGGTGCAAGTCCGTGGTCTCCTCTTGGCTGGTTTTGGCCGGTTTAGGAGTCAATGTGTTAAATCATTTAAAGATGCCAACAACATACATGTACATATATTCAGCTGTGGTAGAATAACCATGGGTGACTGTGGGGAGGCCGGATTGTGTGGTTCCAGAAAATATCCATACCCACCGCAAGGAAGGTTATTGGAAATTCCGAGGGTGAAGGGCTCTCAAAAGCCAAAATTTTTAAAGGAAAGTATGAAGCTAAACTGGAATTTCCAGGGGGGAGGGGGTATGGATATTTTCTGGAACCTGACACATTTCAGCAATAATTTATGGGAAACACTAAATGAGAGTGACCCGAAAACATTGACCCCTGGTCCGTGGATTACCCCAGCGGACCTGGTCCACGGACCACCCCATGGACCGTCCACGGACTACCCCTATGGAGCGGTCCACGGACCACCCCTATGGACCCCCTAAATTAATTTTTTTTAAAGATATAAAATAAAAATTGAACTTGACAAGTTGAGTCTAACCGTAAGGAGTACTCAATCGTTACAGTAGGAAATAGCAAAGAATTGTTTGGAGAATTGTTGCAAACAATGGTAAGGTAGGCCAATTTTTGAAATTCATTTTTCTGCAGCCTGGGACGAGTATATATGAACCCATGGGAGAATGGGCCGAACAAAATGGCAGAGAAAAATAAACACGTTTATCAAGGGTGCCTGCCCTGTAGATTTATTACGTAATGTATAAATCTTCGAAGACCCAGGAGAATTGGATGATGGAAATTGGTGCAAACAATGGCAAACACATTATCAAGGTTTTTAAAAAAATTAAGTCGCTTCTCCTGCATTCTCCAATGCATTTCAAGATAATTCACAGTAATTCCACTAGTTTAATTATTATTATTTATTTATTTTTTTAATTTTTTTTAGGGGGTCCGTAGGGGTGGTCTGTGGACCAGTCCATAGGGGTAGTCCATGGACCGGTCCATGGACCAGGTCCGCTGGAGTAGTCCACGGACCGGGAACATGTCCCATAGCCATACATGAACAGTACATTAAATATAGCCCCCAATAAGCGACGTATTGTACCTCTCATAAATGTAACTAGGAAATTATATACTGAGTGGTGAGGCCATTATATTATCTTAAATACCATGTTGATAAGATGAGATGTAAACTTGATTTAAACATCTAGCTAGTCCCAGTTGTTCAAAGGATGGACAATCCACCCTGAACAACCAGGCCCTGTAGGAATATTAGGGCCTTTAAAAATACTCTAACTTAAACAAACCTTTGCCTCTGTAGATTTTGTGATTGTGTATTTTCATACAGCTTTGAAAGGCTTTCCAGTACAGTGAACATTCCTGCCAACTACCATAGATGTAGTACCG